AATAATAAAAAAAAGTTTTTAAAAAATAAAGAGAAAATTTAATAATAATATTATATTATTCTTTAAATTTCATTCATAAAGAATCAAAATTTTTTTTTGTTTTACATGTTTTAAATCTTTACATAATATTTATTTCAGATACAATTAAATTTACTTAACAATAATTAGAAATATAATATTTATTTTATAAGTTATATAATATATAAAATCAGAAATATATTAATAAAATAAATATTATTAAAATAGAATCAGAATAAAATATGAAAATAATAATAAGAACAATAACATTTAAAAGTATCTTTACAATTTAATTATTTATAGATTTATTGAAAAACCTGCCGAATTGGCAAAAGGTTTCGTAACACCTATCTTAAAACCAGAACAATTTCCATGTTTAACTTATTACATAACTCGTCTACTGGATCCAGAAAGTTTGGAACCACCTTTTGAACCTTCAATTTCATCTGGAAGATGTTATAGTTGTGAAAACGAATCTTGTGCTTGTTTACATGTACCTTCAAATGGTTATTTATTTATATTTATTATATTACTAATAAAACTAATATATTATTTTTTTTTATATTATCTATACCTCTATTAAGTAACTTGTTATTAATTTTATTATTTATATTATTAATTTCGTATAGATATTGTTATAAATGAAGTTATAAATGAAGAAAATGATTTTCCACAAGGACAGCTTTTTAATTCTGATGTAATAGATATGACAAAATCTGAATGGAATTATGAAGAATGCTGGATATACAAATGTTTAATGATTCATATCCTTCGTTTACGTCAAATTTATAATGATTATGCCAAATTATTTGCAAAGCCAGCACCAAAATGTAATCTTGTAATGAGCAGACTATGTTTATGGCAATTATGGAGAGATTGTAATATTCAAAAAAAAATTTCTCTCTCCACAATCGATAAACATATAGGTAAATAGTTAATATATGTATATATAATATATTATCTATAGATAAAAATATTTATTGACACAAAAAAATATTTTGGAACATTATTTTACTATTATTCATCAATAATTATAAATCTATTTATGTAAATATTAAAATTTATTTATTAATATTAAACATTATTATCTATTATTGAAATAATATTATAGCAAAAAATAAAAATACAATAGTGAAAGATCCCCACTATCCATTTGAAAAGATTGAAATCTGGCAATTTTTACATGCGTTATTAGAAGTATCTTGGCACTTGTATACAAAATATAATAATGTAGAAGTCGGAGAAATGAATGGAAAACTTGCTAATGGTTTGCACAAATTTTTGAAAAATGATATATATCCTCATGTTGGAAATCATGTTGGTATATAAGCCATATAAAATTATATAAATAGAAAAAGATTATTATATATATTTATATTAATATATCTCGCAAATACAGTAATTTATCTCGAAAAATTATAAAAAATTATTTGTCATGAAGAAAACTTCATTATATTATTCTTATTTGCTTTCTAGAAAGTTAGTTCTTAAAAAGAATTAAATAAATAAAATATAATAAGCTTTTACAATGTTACATTTACAATGAATCTCCAAACTATGTCTTGTTTTTGGAATAAAAAGATATTATTATCTCGATATTTTTGTGAAGATTATATA